TTTCCCTACTGCCAGAAAGATGACATAGAAGCGAAAAAGCTGGCAATAAATACATGGCGTGCTTTGGCTAATTCTGCAGAAGCATGATTGTGTGCACAAATTCATACTGCTGAGTGATGCAGCAAGGCATGAATCTGGTACTAATGACCATGGAGCCTCAGTCTGTATGGAGCAGCATGGGGGAAGGGAGGGGAATGTATTAATTCTATTCTGGAGTGGGAAAAAACCCTTCTGATTCCAGCTAGCAAATCAGTATAGCTCCTGAAACATGAAGGCTGCTACTGTTTTCCTCACAGCTTTCTCCTCTAGTTCATCTAACTGCAAATGTCTCTCTTTGTATATGCACGTTTTTAAAAAATGTTGCTAAACTACTTACCAGTCAAATCCTGTGGCAATGTTGATAATAAATTTTGTAGCGTACATATAATTACCTTTTAAGTACCATATGCATTTTTTGCCTTTAATTTCGTTGAATGCCCTCCCCTTTGTTCTAGTTCCAATTTAATAGCCGGTTTTCATCTGTTTTTCCCATGCATATTCATCTTCTCTTTCTCAGATTTGCCTGAGTCTTGTGAAACTGCTGTTTTACTTGGCACATTCTCCCCTGGGTTCAATAGTCCTCTTGGATTTCCAGCCGAGGCAGTTTGTTATGGTGGATGGAAACCTAAAAGTGACAGACATGGATGATGCCAGCACTGAGGAACTGTCATGCAAGGAAGATAATGACTGCACACTTGACTTCCCTACAAAAAGGTTCCCCCTCAAATGCTCTGCAGTTGGGAAGTGTGAAGGAATAAATGAAAAGAAGAATCTTTTCAATGCATATCGGTATGTCCAGCTAGATGGGGGGCAGATCTGGGGTGGCTGAGCTCACACACTGCCATGTAGCCTCTAGCATCTAGCGTTTCTTCCACGCAGTGATTCTCCCTCACCTCTGTCAAAGGGTAGTTAAGGATCGCTTTGAAGCAAATTTATTCTCCTTATAAGGCAGGAAAACAGTGTAGTTGTTGTCTGGTGAGAATGAAGGCATCTTTCTTCTGCTGCTCCCTTTCCCAGCACCCTCTAGAAACTTACCCCAGAGGTTGCACCTGTGAGTTTACTGTTTGCCAAACAAGCTCTAGCGCTTGACTTCCGCGGGCTGTGTTTGCTGGAAGCAGCGCAGCACGGGCTGCCTGCCACAGCCTGCCAGCTTTGAGCCCCCATTGCTGGGACAAAGCGGGCTAACTCCTCCGTTGAACTCCGAGTCTGCCTATGGAGACTATGGGCACCTATGGAAGAGCAATGAAACAGGTAACAGGCAAGGGGCTGAGACTGCTGTGGCATTTCATACAGACCACCAGCTGAAAGCATGAGGACCTCACTCACCATTGATGCTTGGCAGATCAAGTACAGGGGCAAGCGTCAACAGTTGGATATTTATGTAGAAGGACGTAGTAAGGGAGCCTGAATTTGCAAGATTCAGTGTTAAAAGGCAAATCCCTGCATAGATTATTTCAGCCTTGCAGTAACGAGCTTGTCTCTCGTCGAACAGGACTTTTCTGGAAGGTTGAGAGAATGAGTCATCCTGCTTTTCCAGGGACAATAAGAATGCCAAACGTTTTCAGGGCAAGGGAAAGGTCTTACATGAGCCTTCTTTTGTTTTGTTTTGGTTTTTTTTTTGGTGGGAAATGCATTGCTTAGTGAACAAAATGGGCCCTGAGAATGAAGGAAAGCTCTGTTGCGTGAGCCTTTGCAAGGTAGATTTCATGCAGTGCTTGGCGGCATGCTGTGCTGCAAGGGCCAAGCTTTCAGCTCAACTCACAGGAAAGGTGTGTACGATACCAGTGAAGGGCTCAAGCATAACTCAATAACCAAGTAGAATTACTAGTTGCATATGGATAGCGGAGTCACGGGAAAATGTAGACAACTTAATTACCATGGAAATGAAGCGTCTGTATTCTAATCAGTCTGTGGGACTTTTGCAGGTATTTTTTCACCTATCTTTTGCCATACTCTGCACCACTGGCTTTGCGTCCCTTTTTGAGCGATATTCTGAACGCAACAGGTACCACCTAATATTCGTAAACTTCTTTATTAGAACTCTCTAAATGTTATTTCTTGGAATTACTTATCTTTGTCCTCTTTTTCTTTAAATGTAGGTGATTTACGATATGGAATAAATGAAACCCTGAAAGCTTTTGAAAAGGTTTTACATCTCTACAAGTCTGGGCTGTACCTGCAGAAAAAGCCTCTGCTTTTGAAAGGTACATGATTTTGAATGCTTTAAGTAACATGACTGCTGAGGGAGTGAGGAACTTGGTAACTGGTCAAATTCTGATCTCCCATACATTCAGGCTGGGTGTAGTCACTGGGAAAAGCACCAAAAGTATCTTTTTTTTTTTTTTTTTTTTTTTTTAGCAGCCTTTTGTTGTTTTTTCATGGGAGCTATGCATGATTGCACTGCTTTGCAAAGTAAACGCAGTGCAGACAATCTGGCTTCCATATGGAGGTATGCTTGTACTGCTTCTAAATACTCTTCTTGTAATGTGCATCAGTGTTTCAAGTGCATATATTTGGGATAGCTTAAGCGGCTAGACCAGAGTGTCAAACTGAGTGTTTCCCATCTCTCTTCAGGGTCATCTTATCCTATGGACCAATAAGTCAGTTTTCTGGGCTGATACTGAAACTTCCCATTTTACTTGGTAGCTTCTGGCTGTTGAACACAGGTTATGAGAATGTACACTGGGAGGGTGACAACACTGAGATGAGTGTGGCAGAGGAGCTGGGGCCTTGGTGCCCTCTAAATTTCTTTTTTTCTGAAGACCATCCTATTGGACCTGTGGATATATAAATGAACTTTTATGAGGAAGAGACCCATTTGATGGTAGAAATGAGGCTAATCAAAAGGAAGGCTTCAAAAGCTCAGTGGTTTCTGTGGCTTACATTTTCCTGAGTATGCACTTGAAGTGGTGGGGTAGTGTTGGTGGCTTGCAAAAGGAAATCTCGTTACGTGTGAAAGAGCTGGAATTTGCACCATTGTGAGCAAAGATATCCTGTCATTTGCACTGAAGGACCAGCAGCTTTAACAGAAATTACTAGTATTTCTCAACAACACCCACCTGTTGGCTTCACAACTTGCCCAGTAGCAATGATGTGCCAAAACAATCTCCATCCTAGGGGTGTGGGAAGGTGGGGAGAGACTTGACGAACAATAACCTGAACATCACCTGTTCAGGCTTGTCAGGTCTTCTGTATCCCACTGGAACCTCCCTTTCTCCCAGTGGGGTTCCTAAGCCTCCCACATCTACAGGTGGGTGAGCATGTACCCCTCATAGGTCAGTGCTGGATCTGTGACGAGCTGGTTCAGCTGCTGGGGCTGAGGTGTAGGAGAGGCCATTGTGGGTTTGACTTCTCTGGAGAAGAATCAGAGAGTCTGTGGGTCTGCACATCAGCTTTCCCCTCTCACTCACCCCTGTGGTCATTCCTCTGCCCCTTCACCCTTGAGAGTTGTGCCCCCTCTGTTGTATCTGTGGAGGAATTGCTGTTGAGTACTTTAGCCGAACCAAACATCAGGATTTAGGTTTCTTTGAACTGTGCAGCTCCATCCACTTTATCTAGGCAGGTCAGTTCAACCTATCACTATCACATTCCTTTAACAGTTTCACTGAAGTGCAACACACTAAGTGTATAGTGTTAACTAGTCACTGGAAATGCAGTTAAAGAGTTTCCCTAAAAACCCTCTTTCTGTTCCCAGACTACATCTCCCTAAAGGGCTTCCGAATGGTGGAAGGAGAAGACTACAAGTGCTGGCCCTCCTACAGCCACCTGGGATGCCTGCTCTCTGTTCACAGTGCTGAGGAAGCTGCCGCGATTTGTAACTCCCAATCACAGTGCCAAAGCTTTATCATCACCCAGCAGAGGACATGGACAGGTGAGCTTGGGCAAATACGACAGGGTCCTGCCACGTGGTGCCCCTGCTTTCCTCAGCTGTGAGTGGGGATGATGCCGCTGCCCTTCTCATACTGCTGTGAGTCTATGGGTGCATATAAAAACTGCTTTTCTTAATCTCAAGATGAAGGCTGCTACAGTGGGAATCCAAGGATCCTCTGAGTATTTGTAAGGAAACGTAAAAGAAATAACATTCTCCTTCTGTACCTCCTTTCCTCTGTAAATTTTGCACAGGACTGCTAGGTATCATTAAACAGTTACTTATTTCATGTAGAGATGGCCTCGCTTTGGTGTTGGACTAAACAATTCCTGTGTTACGTATGGTTTGCTAAAAGCTGTGGGGTTTTTGTAGATAAAAGAAGCTATGTAAAAGAAGGTGGTTACTATTGTTATAATTAAAAGAATCATAGCTTGCAAGTTGTTAGCCCTTTTATCAAAACCAAAGCCCTAAACGAATGTATTTCCAAAATGTCCCTGTAATTAGCTCTGATTATAGCTTCTTATGGTTAGCAGCAGAATTATTATAAATTACCTCATTTAACTGACACTTCAATCACTGGCTAAATTGTTACTTATGAAGTGAAACACTAAGTGAGGTAAATGAGTGTTTTCACTCACGATGGTGCCGAAGAATCATGTCTTGTTGGCTTACATGACATTTAAAAAAAACCCCAAACCCCAAAACTACCAAAACCACAGCTTCTCCATGGATTTGTGTGCAATTGGCATGTGGCTAACTATTGACAAAATGGCACTTACACTGATGCAATGCTCATTGAGCCTGTTTCACACCAACAATGGATTGTGTGAGTTGAGCCCAACGCATCGCATCTGGTTTCTCACAAGGCGGCTGTTAATTTCTGTGTTCAGTGCCTGGCTGCAAGGAACGCCCTTAAAGCAGCAGTGGGGATGCAGAAACAGCAGCAGAAGACCCTTCCTGCTGCACCTGGCTTGGATGCTGATTCCTGCCATCCTGCACCATGCCTGCAGTCTCTTATTATTTCCCTTCCTGACAGTTTTCTTCCACATTTTTACAGCTCACCTTTGCAGCCAAAGATACCAAAAGCGCGGGGCTGAATGCAGAGTGCCTAACTTTGCCAGTTGGATTAACGAGAGTTGTGGGAACATGTTAGTCCCTCTTAGGGCAGCTTGGTAAAGCAAATCAAGATGGAAAAGCCTCTGCGGCCTGATTGTGTGTTGCTTGTGCACACTCAGTGAGCATCTGGGGTTTGCTGGGAGTGTGAAATGCATCTCTGGCAGGGTGGAGTGGCTCTCTGTTGAGCGAGCAGTGTGTTGCTGTGTCTTTTGTAATAAACAGTGCGGGTCAAGGTGAACCTATGTCCTTTATTAAACTTGGGTTTTTATTTCCTTCCCAGGACGCCCACTCGCCTTATTTCAGAGTAGCTCGACTGATTTAATACCGGATGCTCACGCTGTGGTCTATGTTAAACGATCAGCTTCCTCAGGGGAAAGACTTTAGAGACAATGAAATCACATAAAATGATCCTGGGAGGAACAAACCACTTGGGAGAATTTCATCTGCTGAAAAGAATGACTTATTTTCTTTTGCTTTGGGATGGGATCACCCTGCCAGCTCAGATAGCGTCAGATGCTGCTGCCTCCTTGATCAAAGCTCAGATTTCTCATTGCAGCCCTGCTAGCTTTTCATATTTGTTCCCACACTGCTGTTCCACAGTCCCAGTTGTAGTCAAATGTCGCTCGACTGTGCAATCCTTTCCCTTACCTTGCTGCTTTGGTAACCAGCTTGTCAGCCAAGAAATAGAAATAGCCGCATGGGCTCCAGCTTGGGTATGCTTAGTTAGTTCAGTCACCTCTGAAAACCTATGGATAACGCACCTCGGAGAAGATAATGGCTCCTTCTGCAGCTGCCGACCAGGATTTCATACCAGTGCAAATGTAGAGGACTGGATTTGAGCGATGGGGCCGAGTTTGCAGGGTTGGGATCCATAACCAGAGGTTGATGATGGGGGTGGTCTTCCAAGGAGGGTCCTGATTCCATTCCTTCCAGGGCAGGGGAGGGAGGTGATATTTAAGTCAGCTTTGGAACCAAATGTCTGCATGTTTGGATGCAGGATTTGGGTTTGACCCTATGTGATTTGTAATGCCAGATCCCATGTATCAACCTTGAAGGTTTTTCTCTGTTACTTTCCATGAAAGAACAAGACATTCAAATTATTTATGTGTAAGGTGTGACTCTCTATGATAAAGAATTTCTATGTTTATTCTAAGCATGCTGTGAGAAGTTTTTCTCTTTGCCTAAGTCTTTACTGCAAACAAATGAAGAAATGTAATTGTTTCCCACCTTGAGCTCAGCTAGCATCATTACCCACTCCTCAGGACAGCCTGTCAGTGCTCTAAGCTGTGTATGAACGTGCCTGAGCCCCTTGGACATGTAGGTCTTGGAGGATGTTCTGTGGCTGTGCTTGCAGACTCATAGGTGCAGAAGAAACAGTCTGGTCCCAAGAGCCTCCTGCATATGCCTTTTGCTCAAAGGACCCACTGTGGATGTGATCTCTGAAAAATAGGTGGGAGTTAGTCTAATTTCAGGCTGTAGGAGATCACAATGTAACCTTCCACTTCTGGGAGTGACAGGAAGTAGTGACCATACAGTACCTCTACTGCTGTAGCACGACTGGGGAAAGCCCAAGGCACTGCTCACCTCATGCCTCGCAAGAGAAGGTCCCTGGCCTTGTGCAGGAGAGCAATACTGCAGCCTCTGTGCAATGCCACATTGAGTTTTTTACTTAGTCCATGCTGCTGGATGGAAGTGATGGCTCTTGGGACATTGTCGTTGACTCCCTGTAGCCTTTGACAGTGTGGCTGTTTCCATGTGGACCCCTATAGCAGCTGGGGTACCCCCTGACTAAAAATGCCTGAGCTCTTGCCTGGGATTGTGTTGTGTTTTTCATGATCTGGTCCTGTGTTTCCCAGTGCATGATCTCACCTTTCAGCTTGTTAGTACTCTATTAACCCACAGCAGTGCCATTACGTGTGGGCTTTCTCATGCACAGCAACCCCTGCTGCTTCCACTGAAGCTTTGGGACTCTGACAGTGATATCAATTAATGAGAATTCCTAGTTAGCACAACAAGAAGGCTCTTCTTAGTAATGGGCACATTGCTACAGGCTTTGTGAAGGCAAAGCTTTTTAAATGGACAGCCACAGACCACTCTGTCCATTACAGTGGGTCCTGTGGAAGTTGAAGGAAAGCTCCTGCCAGGGGTCCGCTATTGTTTTACATTGACCCTACTGAGCAGAGCTTCAGGCGTCTGCTGTGTGGTGCTTTACATTAACAAGAAGTAATGAGTGTTTATTCCATATCTCTCAGCCTCCTGAGATACAAATCAGAAGTACATTCCCCAGAGCAAGGGCAAGGGCCAGCCTGGGGTCATTTCAGAGAGGAAGAAACAGAGAGAGAATGCAAAAGTTAAAGTGATTCTCGTTTGTGTTAGAACAATCTTCCCGTCCTAAAAATCTCTCAAGGTAAAAAAAGAAAAAACCAAAAAAATATGTATGTGTGTGTTTTAGCCATGTGATGCTCCTTTCACACTGCAGAATTTCCATCAAGTTTTCACTGTATGATTGCCAGTCAGGCAGTCAGGTCCAGCCCCTCAGCACACAGTGCAGGGAATGACAGTGTCACTTGTCTTGATGCAGATTCCAGCTGTTGCCATTGCAAGTGGCTTTTGGAGGGGCATTTAGACCACCCCTTGCAAACAAGTAGGTACATTCTTATGGCCTGTACCCCTATGAGCACATTCATCATGCTAGCACAGACAAAGAGCTAGGGCACAGGCATACATTTTTGTCCAATTCTGTTCATGTGCTAGAGACTTAGAAGATGCTGCAAATACACTGGTAAAAGTGTATGCACCATTCTCCTCCTACCTCTGCCAGCTCCCCACAGCATGTAACACCTGGTGGGCATACTGGTTTCAGTCTGGTTTGGAGTGACGTCCCACTGCAGCCCAATGGTGCCCAGCAAATGCTGGGTGAGGGAAAATGTTTTATCACCCCACTGCACCTAGAGCTATAGTTTGACACGCTTTTGAGGAAACACAGTCACCAGAAAAAGTGGTTCCCACCCTGTTTTTCCCAGCTTCTTGCTGTTATCATCTGCTAAGAAATGTTTTCCAATGGCTGTGCCAGTTTGAAAGCATGTAGAATGGATTCTCTGCTAGCTTGCAGTGAGCAGCTTGTGACCCCTAAGCTTCAGGCAGCTCACAATTGACCCTGATGCAGCTTCTGCACCAGAGCTGTGTGGAGCACCCAGGCTGCTCACAACCCAAAGGGGAGGCTACGGGAGCAAGCATCTTCTCTACAGATTGTGGGCCCATGTGGCTGTTTTGTAGTGTGCTATCTTTATGTCCCATCTCACTCCATCTTCATTCATTTTATTAAATTATAACTGCCTCAAGCAACTTCAGACTCTCAATGCCAGTGGAAATTTCAGTGCATGCCTAAAAATTGTGTTTCAGTAACTATGGTTTGTAAGGAACTCAGATACAAAGGTTTGCTGCCCTTAAAAAATCTCCCAGTTGCTGAAGTCAATTTTCTCTGCTATCGCTGATCAGTATTTTGGCCACCATTGTGGAATATGTAATGGAGGAAAGTGCTTAGAAGGAAACAGCAGGGGATCAATTGCGATGGAAACCATGTGTGCTGCAGGAATAATATTTACCTAAATGTGTCTATCACATCTTCCCAAAGGATGCTGCCATTAAGAGAGAATGGATATGAAAATGTTGCCTCCACAGATAAAAGTTAGGAATACCATTATTTTAAACACAAACTTTAATATTCTTAATTAATTCCATGTTGTAAAAACAGCGATAAAGCCACATCCATGAAGGATAATACCATGTACTCCAAAGATATAAACCACAGTTTAATAAATAGCAACAGATGCCGCATGACTCATGTTCAGTATGTTTGCTCAGGCATTTACATGACTGGTGACTTCATGACAGATTGAGGAGCAGAGCAAGGGGGACAGAGCCTGATAAAGAAAAAGCAACTCTGGGAGCATCACACAAGGGTCAAATAACAATGAAAGGTATATCTATATTCTTACACGACGTTCTGCAAACTTTAGTGATGCTCTAATCAGCACTCAAATAGATGAACTTTCAAGTTAGGTTTGGGAAAAAACAGGAATTTATCACAGGCAGCTGTAGGCCCAAATCACACATCTGGGTTAACATTAATTTCTGTAAGGTCTCCTATAAATTCACGTACCAAGCACTGATCTTTGTGGGTAGAAGTCAGAGCACTTTGGTGCTACTGGGTCGAAAGATCTGGTTTGGGGTCCAGTTTGAGGAATTAGTGAAGAGTCACTCCAGTATCCAGAACGGCCCATGATGATGGGTTGGTAGGACTTCAGAGTGAATCTTCCCCCCTAACTAACTACAGCACTTGAAGCAATCTTTCTCCTTGGTTCCACTGTCCCAGTTTACCAAGGTGCCATCAGCAGCAGTGTGGAGGTGGTAGTGGTGAAGGAAAACTCACGGAAGAGAATTTTATATGAGAGATAACAGTGAGCCCTTCTGCTTCCCCAGTAGCACATGCTTAGTCCATAGTGGTGGATTTGCCCTGAATGGTAGTTCTTGGCTCACGGGAAAATGTATCAGAGGACATCAAACAAGCCTGGGTGCACCAGGAAGGGGTGACAGCTGGAGAGAATGGCTGCCAGACACCCCTGCTTGAAACTGACCTCCTGGCTCTGTGTGAGGGCTCCAAACAAGGGCTTGTGCTTTGGAGCCTTTGGAGCAGCCCTCCTGGCTGGCCAACCCAGGTGCGTTTACTGTGGGGGAGACTTCTCGATGTAGCTTTGGAGGAGATGGAGATGCTGACGGCTTTTTAAGAAATTTATGCTTGGCCTTTCTAGGCACCAAATTACGTCCCAGCACTGCACCCACTATCACAACCGCCCTATCCTCAC